TGAGTTCCTCCGCAGCAAGCGCTTGGCTTTTCTCCAGCGGTGGCATTTGGCGAGCGGTGGCCTGGCCGTGCCAGACCCGGACCACGGCTATCACAGCCTGGAGGAGGAGCAGCAGCAGCACAAGGGCGTTTGTCAAGAAGAGCCAGGGCGACGGCGGGAGCAGCAATGCGATGCCGGGGAGTTGAAGCGGCCCGAGGAGCCGAGCGAGCCGGGGAGACAGCCTGGAGGTGATCCCTTGGAGCAGGGGGGGATAAGGGGCTCAGCCGAGAAGGGGGCACTTGAGGGGGAAACCTCGACTGAAGAGGATGACGAGGACTCCGAAATAGAGCAAAACCTTGCGTTTTCAGCCAGACCCGCTTGTGCGAATAAATTGATAGACTATATCATAGGGGGAGTTTCCAGTGGGGAGGAGAGTGCGGATGAGGAGGAGGACTGGGATGATGATGATGACGGCTTTGATAGCGAAGGGCTTCCCTCGGATTCAGACGCCGGTAGCCAGGACGGAGAAAGGCTTCATCTCTGGAATTCCTTCTACAGTTTGGATCCCTACAACCCTCAGAACTTCACAGCCACCATCCAGACATCTTCCAGTGACCCGGGAAAGGATATGTCAGATATGGAGGAGGAGGAGGATGAGGATGAGGGAGATTCTTCGTGGGCAGAGGAGTCCTCAGGCTCTCCTCACCCTAGCTCTGAAGAGGAGGATGAGTGGGACTGCAGCAGCGTGGATGAGGCAGAAAACTTGAAGCTTTGGAACTCGTTCTGTACCTCAGATGATCCATATAATCCTTTGAATTTCACGGCAGCCTTTCAGACAGCGGAGAAAAAAGGGACGGCTGGTTTAAGAGGAGCAGAGAGGCCGAGTTTGGGCACTTCTGAGCATAGCCACTTAACTGTCTGCTGTGTGCAGCTGGAAAAACATAACTGGGGGGTCACGGACTGTGTGCAGCATGGCATTCTTTCTGGCGAGAAATGTAGAAGTACCAAGCGGAAAAAGGTATAGACTTTGTTTGTATTTTGAGATTTGGGGGTTGCTAAAGAACCAAACCCAACAACGAGCCCCCATTGTGCTGGGTGCTGATGGGGTGAGGTCACTTGTGCCAGGGTTGCAGTCACGGTGGTGGGCAGATCGTGCCCCCATGAGCCTGTGGGCTAATTATTTGTCTGAAACGTGTGCCTCATCTTTACACGTGGTGGTGGGTTGCATAATTCAGTGACACAGGGAAGATAATTGCTTTAAATTGCTTTTCTAGACTTGGAGTTACATTTTCCTTTTAAGGAGATGTTTTCCTTCTGTGTTTGTGGTGTTCGGTTGTTTTCGTTATCAGAGAAACAGATGGGAACCGTAACGTTTTTCCTATGGAAAGTACCCGGTTCTGATACGAGTAGTGTTGATAAGGTATTTTAGGAGCTTTGTGTGTGTAGTGTAATCGAAACTTCAAGGATTTTAGGGCTTGTGACAAGCCTGCTTGGGTTTCAGACAGCAAATGTCTTTCTGAGCAGGGAGAGCTCTTCTCTTGTGGGTTAACAGCTGCTGCAGTAAGCACTGAGGTTTCAGTATGGAGGAGTATTTCCATTTAGGAGACTATTATAGTTCAGCATAATATAAATATAATAATATAATGTAAATATAAATAACAATACATAATAAAATATGTTTGTAATATAAGAAATATGATTAAAAATAATGTTTTATAGATATTGGGCTTTGAGCACAAACTGGAAGTGTAGTATGTTCATGAGGAGTTTGTACATTGAAAAAAACTTGTAATGCATGTGCTGGGATTGAGAGAAATAGCAATAAATTTATTTTCTCGTGTGTTTTATGGTACTGCAGATACACAAGATGGCTTTTCAGGCCTGATGGCTGAATCTTGCCTGATAATTCAGACATTTATATGAGTGGTAGCCTGTGATACCAAGTCCCAGGATAGTACACTAATAAGTTATCAGAATAGAGAAGTTGTACAGTGCTTACTTAGCGTTCTTAGGGTGGAGAGATTTGTTTGCTCCTTTAATTGAGAGGTTGGAGGTCCCTTCATACCCGTTTTTGCTAGGGCAAGCAGTGCTTACAGATCAGTGGTTCACCGAGGCCAAACTGTTGTGTCCTCATGGGAAGTACTCAGAGGTGAACGTCTTCTGTAAGACATCCTTTAGCTGACGACATCCGTCTGAAACGCTGCAGGGTGGCACTGATGAGTTCATGCTGCTGTGCCCTCCAATCCTGGTGCGTGCCAGAGATGTCGACTCACCGGGAGTAATTTTTGGACTAATTTATTGTTTGGCCGTGTGTGAGCTACTGAGATGGTGAAAGAACAGTGATGCACATGCAATATTTAGCACGAGGTTGCAGAATGCAGTAATTGTGCCCAGGGGTGTCTCAGACTGATGTAAAGAGGCTGTAAGGTGCAGAGGAATGGGCTGATGTAACAGCTCGGGGTGCTTGGAAGCAGAGACTCAATGAGGTGCAAAGCAGCAGAGGTTGCTGAGCAGTGACCAGGGTGCTCCCAGGAAGTCTCGTGTCATTCACCCTGCTCACGGCTGTTTCCTGTCTGGCATCCTGCAATCGAACAGCAGTGTTCATGTTTGGAGCCTCATGAAACCTGGGAGCGTGTGTTGTCCTTTATGAGTTAGCAAATGCATTGATGCTGTGTGAGCACACATTGGGGGTTTTTTGTACCTCCCCACCTTTTTTCCTGACCCTGCAGTGGAGAGCTCTGTAGTGACAGTGTTTAGGAATCAGTCCTAGGCTGAGGGTTGCTGGGTGCCTTTTGTACAGCAACATACTTCAGTAAGAGCCTGAAACAGTCTGGCTTTTGCTTATCGCTCCGTAACAGAAAGACTTAAATACTTAGGATGGTAATAGTTGAAATGCTGTCATGTTGAGATGCTGAGCCTAGAAGTGTCTTTGTTTTCTTAAAATAACTTCATACTTCTTAAAAATAGCAAAGAGTGAAAGTCCTCATACGTATTTTAAAGTGCCATGACATAATTCCATTGCACGAACGTAAATACCCTGGCATTTGATAGCAGCTGGAAATAGCTGGGTTTGTTCCCCTCACGTGGTGGTGAGTGTGGCTTCCTCAGATGTAGCACAGCGTGATTTTTCTTCTCCCTGGTGCTGAAGCACGGGCTGACTCACACGATTACTCTGCAGAGCAATGGTTCCTTTTTTTATTATGCAAGCTGCAGTAACTGGAGCTGTTGGCTGGTAGCAGATTTCTAGCCCTGAGTGAGTGTCCTGGCACGTCCTGAGTAACCCGCTTGAAGTGTGTAAGGTTATAACCCCAGACATCAGGGGGTGTTGTCCCACAGGGAACATTGTGTGATTTACCATCAGCCTAAAGCGGCCTCTTGGAGCACAGTTGGGAGCTCTGTAGTAGTTTAAACACTGCTTTGGCAGAGGTGAGCAGCTGGTTGCTTTTAAAACTGAGAGGTGAAATACGCTCTGGCCTTGGTGGTGCAGAGACCTAGCATGACCTGGCAGCATATCTGAGGCCTTTTGGTGTTTTAGGGACTTAATAACTTCTGCTTAAAAAAACATAAATGTGAAAATAGAAGTTCCTTTTGCACGAGTGTGTGGTTAATGTTTCACTGCATGACTTATGTTTTCCAGGTCACCTTCCTCGAAAAAGTTACCGAGTATTACATTAGCAGCGAGGAGGATCGTAAAGGACCCTGGGAGGAGCTCGCGCGAGATGGGTGCAGGTTCCAGAAACGCATCCAAGAAACAGAAGATGCCATAGGATATTGCTTCACAGCAGAGCATAGACAAAGAGTATTTAATAGACTCCAGGAAACCTACTATAAGGGGGTGGATCTCTTTTAGCACCTTAAAAGAGCTGGTAGTTGGGTGACCCTAAGCACTCATGAGCATCTTCGAGATGAGAAGTGGCAGCTGCATGTGCTATTTTGAAATGGGGAGAGCAGTGGCGTTTAACACTCTTTTCCCAGTTTGATATTCAGCCAACAAATAAACCTGTGTGTCCCACTTTGATATCCAGACAAAACCTTTTGAGTGTCATCCAGGGTAAGGGTGGGATAACTGCATTCCTTTGAAGTAACACTTGAGAAACGGACTGATTTTGGTTAAATCCATTCCAAAAATGCCTTGTCTGCCATATGTGGAGAAGTGGTGACTATTTAGTTGGATTTTTGCACTTTGAAAAAGCAAAACCTATTTTGAAGGAAATATTTATGGGGCTCAGAGCCTAGTTATTGCAGTTTTGATTTAAAGTTTTAGAGGTTTGTGCCACTCTGTCGTGGTTCTCCGTTTTCTCTCACTTGTACAAGAGCCTCAGACTTTGGCTGACTAATAACATTAATTCACTGTGCAAAGCAGGTAGTTTGTCCCAGTTTTGCATGTAACCTGGTGTTTGTGTGGAACGCTTTGACGTGTCTTAGTTTCAGTGTAGCACACTGGGGGATCCAGGGGTGCTCTGGTGCACTACAAGCCCTTTGGGTTGTCTTTATTTAAATAATATAAATACCTTTACCCAGTACTGTTCCAAAGGGCGTTGGCTGCTTGTGCACCGAACCTCTTTGCTTTCAGGGCAGTGAAAGACCTCATCCTGATCAAGAGTTAAAGCTTTGCAGTGCGTATCGAGGCTATGGCTGATAGCTTAGGGTAGCCACGCAAAGGGACCCAGGCCCTGGTTCTTTACTTCATCTTAGAGTAACTTTGCCATCATCGATTCTGCTTTCTGGAAATGGATTGAAGTGGAGGATTCCTCATCTTTTTAGTATCCAGTGTGCTTGTTCTAGTACTCGTAAGGAGAACTATCTTTGAGTACAGATTGCTGTGTGTTTTACCAAAAGCCAGTATTAATACCTCCATGCATCTGCACTTTTGTTCATCTGGCACCAAAATAACATTTCACGTTTGGGGGCTGAATGTTGAGGTCTTTGTGGAAGGAAAACACTCCTTGTTTATGTTCCTAACTTAAAATGTTCCGTTGTTGTTTCAGTCAAAAATAAAGCAGCGCCGCTTGGATCTGTGTTTGGACCTGAAGGATGTTGTGTGGCTGCTGCCCAAGCAGGTACGAGGTCATGCAATGGGTTAAATACCAAACATCCAAGGATTTACCTGTTCATCCCATGGCATAAAAAGAGAATTGGATTCCCTTTTCCTATAAAAGATAGTTTTAGTTGTGAAATCCTAATGCTAATCATGCCTTTAATCCTGTGGAATAACGTTGAGTTTTTCAGAGTTTGTTTTCCTGTACCACGTTAGGTAACAGCTCTTCTGCTTTTTAGTTTAGGAAGAGGCATGCAGGGTGATAAATGTAGAGTTACAACAGAAAATGTGTTGACTTGTGGTCCAAATGCTGTTGATTGCTCCTGGGACACGATGCTATAGTCATTTTTCCATGACTCTCCTAGTTTCCTCAATCGTGGAGAACTCCTTGGTGCTTCAGTTGCTGTGGACAACTCAGTGGTTTCCTGGTGCTCGTGGGAAGCTGTGGAGTGGTGTGAGTTAACCCCTGCCAGCGCTGACCCGCTGTTTCCGGAGGCTTGGGAAAGGCTGCAGCTGGAAACGAGCAGAATTGATAAATTGGGTTAAAACCAAGCCAAGGTTAAAACCCACCACTCCCAGGGGCTTCTGACACTGGAGAAATTGGGTTTTCCAGGCTGCAGTGTGTGGAGCGCTGTGTCTGCCGCTGCTGGTTCTCACCAAAATGTACCTGCTTGGGTCAGCTTACCCAGTGTGAGGTGGCAGCAAATTAACACTAAATTAATCACCATCAACGTCATCCTAATGGCTGTCACCGTTTTCCCTCTAACTTACCTTGAAATGGACATACAGATGTGTAGGTGCGAACGTGCTGAGTGAGACAGTGAAAATAACACTTGTTGAACTTTAAATCAAAACTGTAATTATCAGATTTTATTTTTGTATAATTTAGAGAAAGTTAGAAAACCTTCAGCATTGGCTTTATACAGATTTTAATTGATTTGTGTCGAGTTTGTTGGGTTTTTATATCTAAAGTTATATTTCTGTACATAATAAAAACTATTCAGAACTAATCTGTAAATTGTAATAAAGAACTTTGCAAGATAATGCCGGGTTGTTTTTCTTTGGAAGCACTCCAGGGAGGTGCCAGGTGGAGGCACAGTTTGTACGTCTGTGTTTAGCTTTGTGAGAACGTTTAATATTTTTAATCACGGTTGGTGTTTCAGAGGCAGTTCTGGGCATTTGGAAGCAGACACTGTCCCTTGATCGTTTCCTTCTGAACCAGTCACTGATGGTAAGGGCTCCTTGTCCTGGTGAAGCTTTTAATTAAAGTACAAAGTATGCAAGTGCAATTAGTTGCATTCAAAATGAGGTGCTGGCTTGGTGTAAGCCGGGCTGTTCGTTTTGGTTGCCCTCGTTGAAGCTGGTTGTTGGGCTTTGGGGTTAGTTTGCTCACTGGTCAGCACAACTTCATTTAAATACTGCATGGGTTTGGGGGTATCTCAGGGGGTTTTGTAGCGTTTTCAGGCTTTGCACTGAAACAAATTGGAGGCTTTGTCTTGGCAGAAGTGACTCAAGGTGCCAAATTCCTGACCTTTGCAATGAGAGAAAGCCAGAATGCTCCGTGATGTAATGATGGGTTCCCTTGGTTATGTTTTAATGCACCGGGATGAACTGCTTGGTGAGGAGTACAGACTATGAAGCCCTGGTAAAGCACGGTGTTATCCAGCGTAATTATTTTTAATGAGGGGTTTTGTTGTTGTTTAATGTGTCTGTCACTGTGGTTTTCAGACAGGAACGTCTCGCTGGAGCTGGTGCCTTGCGGGTGCCTGGAGGGCTTCACGGGCACAAATCGGCTTTTCCAGGGCTTTCCAGCTCTCACTGGTGAGTGGGGCTGGGCCGGAGGGTTTCACCTCAGCCAAAACCCCGCTGATAACTGCGTCTGCAGCAGCGGTACTGGTGAGTGTGTCACTGTCACGAGTGTGGCACCGTCACCAGCAGCTCTGCTTCATGGCTTAGGAATGTCTGGAATGAGCTGAAGGGCCGCAGGTTGGCTGTGCCTGTTGTAGAGCCACGATTTGGGGGGAGAGCTTCCAAGTCACTCACTGGTTTATCCCTTCAGGAAAAGAGCTGCTCAGAACTGCAGTGCTACTGGGAGTTATTTCCATGTTTCACCCTGTGCTTGCATCTTGTCTGAAACACCCGGGTGCAGTGTTTGTAAGAGTACCAGAAAGCGCTGAACTTCCTGCCATGCTCTGTTTAAAGCAGCAAACAAAGCTGAACGTAGCGACCATCACCATCACAAACCACAGCGGGTTTCAAAAGCCGTACTCCCTGTTGTGCTGGCTCTCAAATCTGCCTCATACATGAACACTGTGATTTCTCTATATTCAGTGAGACAGCATGAAGAAATACAGTGCAAAACGAAAGCTTGGGTGGATCTTAGCAGGATGTGCTTTATTCCATCTGCACCGAGGTCTGCAGAGGGGTTTGGTTGAGGATCCTCCTGTGCTGGAGCAGAGTTGTTCCTGCTCTGGTGCTGCATCATCTCCACGGGACTTGAGAACCTGTTTGTCAGCAGAGCACATGGAGTAAATAAGCTGCTGGTTTTACAGGCCACTAAAATGCCGTTTGCAAACCCATCTTGGTGTCACACAGACAAGCTTTACCCGAAACGGGCAGGAGGAGGCCATGGTGCTGCGTGGTGATGTGATTGCAGGGAGAGCCCCCTGCTTTTCCAGCTGCCCCATGGGCTGCAACTCCAGTACAGTCTGAGGTTTATGTCAGGGTGTGCGGTGGTGGAGGGGAGATGGAGCCTTGCAAAAGCTGTCTGTGAGTCCTGGGGTGTGAAGTATTGGAGCCCATGGAGCAGGCGTCCGTCTGCCCCCTGCAAATGCTCACGGTGAGACTTCGCAATGGAAACACTGCCTGCTCTGTGGCTGCTCATTGGATACTCTGGGTTTTTTGGGCGTTTTGCTCCACATGAGCTGTCTTCTCCATTCCTCCTCTTGCAACCTCTAAGTGTGCTGCTTCCTGAACCAGAAACAACCAAAAAATAATCCAACAAAACCCCCTGTGTGTAGAAATCCGCTGGTTGGGGTATCCAGCTCTGTCGGACTGGACGTGCAGCTTGGAAGTGGCTGTGGGGAAGGAGGCCTTGCTCAAGGGACAAACCTGGTCTGCACGAGCTGTAAAACGAAGCTGTTGAAGATAAATTCTGCTGTCTTTGGCACACACACAGCTCAGGATGGTGCTGTCTTCAGCTAAACCTAAAAGCCTGTCTTTAGGGAAGACAGCTGCCATAAAGAGTAACCGGTACGTACAGAGCAGAACAAAGACAGGTCCTGCTTGGGAAATAGAGCGTTGGTGCTCGTGGGTCCGTGCAGGTTTGTGTGGTGGACGCAGGTTTCCTTCGGCTGCCGAAACCCCATGGGAAACAGCAAACCCAGCTCCTGGCTGCAGTGTTTTGCATGCAGGGAGCGGCCTTCACTTGGGACGCGGTGCCAGGCCCCTCGCAGGGACTTTGTGCTGGGAAGAAACAAAAACCCAGCAGGGCCATTGGGATTCAGCACCTTCTCATGCACCGGGCTCGCCGTTTCGGGTTGCTGAGGTAATTTAGGGCAGATCCGAGGTGAAGCGAGGTTTCTGGCCGAGGGGAAGCAGGAGCAGGTTACAAAGACGTGGCTGTAGAGCTGTTTTGCTGGCGCCTCTCTCCACGCCTCCTCCCATAGGAGCTGTGGAAACGCGCCCTGCGTGCGTTTGGAGCTCGGGGTGGCTGTGGGTTGCCGTGCCCGGTGGTCAATGTGTTACTCAGAGCCGTGATAAGAGGCTGTTCAACATCTGCTCGCAATCTGCCTGCCTGGGCTGCAGCAAACCGACCCCATCAGACCCACGGCGCAGCACCCGCTGGCACCGCCTGTCATTTAC